GAACCGGAGAACCTATGAAAAGTAAAATTTTTTTTTTATAAAATGATTATATTTTAATTTAAATAAAAATAATTAAATGTATTTTTTTTTTCTATTAATAGAGGATTTAAACAACAAACGATTGAAAGTTACAAGTAAAATTACAAGTAAAAAAATTTTTTATAATTAATTAATTTAAATAAAATAACTTCTAATATTTTTTCTTATTTATTACATTAGACGGACGAAGCCTGCGTAGAAGACCTATGGCCTTTAATAAAGAAGAGGTCAATCGTAGTGCCAGTGGGGTTGTTAGTACCAGTAATAAGAACAATAAAAAGAAAACCAAGAAAAAATAATCATTTACTTTTTTTTATAAACCAAAATAAAAAATGTTTTAAATTTGTAATGTTCGCAAATAATCACCAGCCTCTATAAAAAATTTCATACGTTATAGCGTATTTTCTATAGATACGATATTTTTTTATATTATTTTTATTATAAATTTTACAACTTTATGAACTTTATACATTTTAAACCCATATATTTATAATGTATACTTCGACACTAGTATGCACTACCCAAAAATTTACTGATGTAAAGAAAAATTCACAAGAATTTCATTAATACTGTTTAATTTTTAAGTTCAAAGTCCGATTGATAATACTGTTATACTGTTTAATTTTTAAAGCTCAATTATAAATTAAATTTAATAAATTAGTATTAAGATTTTAATTTAAAGATTAAGCAGTATCAAGGAATATTCTCGTGAATTTTTCTTGATACTGCTTAATTCTAATTAGCTAATTTAATACTAATGTTTTAATTTAAAAATTAAGCAGTATCAAGAAAAATTCGCTCAAACTTTTCTTGCTATTGTTCGAAGTATATCATTTATTTAAAGTAATTGATTAAACAATGGCAAGAAAAATTCGCTCAAACTTTTCTTGCCATTGTTTGAAGTATATCATTGTTTTTTTTTAAAGCAATTGATTAAACAATGGCAAGAAAAATTCGCTCGAATTTTTCTTGCCATTGTTCAAAGTATATTTTTTGCAAAAACTGAAGCCCTTTAAAACGAAATATAGCCAAAGCGCAATTAATCCGCAGTACTGTGATACCACAATTAATTGCATTATTGCGGAATTGCGAATATCTGATATATGAACTTTAAACTCCGTAATATCTGCAATCAATACCCAGAACAAATGTTATGCCAATTACTGTAAGCCAAAGATACCGCGGTTCTATATGATCACGTGAAATTTATTTTTGAAATTTATTTATACAGTTTACAGTAGGATCAGGAAATTAGAAATCGTGCCCAGAAAATGGGGCTGCTTAAAAACTGCGCCCAGAAAACGGGGCTACTTCTTTTGTACCATTAATTTGGGGCTGCTTAAAAACTGCCCCAGAAATGAAGTTGCTTAAAAGGAAACCTATTACATCATGATTTAAACAAATTATGTATATATATATTCTTTGTGCCATTAAAAATTAATAACAACTTTCGAACAATACATACGCTCAATACAATACATTCTTTTGCTATTTAAACTGTCTTTCTGGAAATAATTAAATAATTTTCTTTTTTCATAATTTTTCATAAATTTTCCTCTATCATAAAATTTTCCTCCATCATAATCATAAATTTTCCTCTATCATAATCATAAATTTTCCTCTATCATAATCATAAATTTTCCTCTATCATAATCATAAATTTCCCTCGTTCATAAATTTTCCTCCATCATAATCATAAATTTTCCTCTATCATAATCATAAATTTTCCTCTATCATAAATATAAATTTTCCTCTATCATAAATTTTCCCCTTTCATAAATTTTCCTCTTTCATAAATAAATTTTCCTTTTTCATAAATTTTCTTCCGAACATAAATTTTCTTCTGAACATTCTTACTTACAAATGATGAATGTTAATCAAGAAGTTGATCAAGAAGTAGCAACAAGTCAACATCAAGAGGTGAATGTTCAAAAAGTAACATCAAGCCAAAATAGTATGTAGAATCATATATATAATTTTTATAATTATTAAATAAAATTTTTATTAAGAATAAACATTTATTTCTGTTTCAATTCTAGAATCAAACATTGTAAAATTTGTTGTAGATATAAATAAAAATATGGAAAGCCTTGGTATAAATTCTCTTAATATATCATCAAACCAAGAAGCAATTTTAGATAGTAAAGAATTTGGAATTTTTAAAATACTTTTCAATAAAGAAGAAAATACAATTTTACAAGCAGCAAATGTAGCCCCGAGATCTAGTTCAGTAAGTTTATCAACAGCAAGAACCACTGTTTTAAGATCATTCTTAACCGCGCCGGCAATCGAAATAGCAAAAAATCTACACAAACTCCTATTATATTTTGATAATCTACCAACTATTCCTCCTACAATAAATCCAAACAATATTGACATTAAATTGTATATTAAAAAGTTGTTAGAAAAGTTAAGTACTTCAACAAAGGAGGAGTTTGAAGCTGAAATTGAAAATCAAAATAACAAGGATTTTTTAAAAGTTTATTATTCAGAGGAGGAAGAAGAGAAAGTAGTAATTGATTTTTAGAATGAACTAAATTTTCCTGAAATCATTTCAGAAACAAACCTCTTAAAGCTTGATTCAGATTTTGATATTATAAAAGAAAATACTATAAAAACGTTAGTTAATCATTTAATAAAAGTTTATGACAAGATTCTTGAAGAGCATATCGAAACAGAAATAAGAAGAAGAAGAAAGTTTAGGGGATATGTAAATTTTCTTATGATATATCAAAAAATAGAGGTTTATTGTAATTTATATAAGACTAAAGCTAGGGGAGAAATGATTAAAAATCAAACGAATAAAAAAATAATTGAATATAGCAGTTCTATCTAGCAAATTTAAAACTCAAGATATATCAATTTTTATAAAAACAGGAAAGAGAATTGAAAAGTTAATTAGTCTTTCAAATCGTGAATGAGGAATTATTGACGCTTTTCCAAATTTAGACATAAATTTTTTCAAATCTACAATAAGTAATGCCGCGTATGAAGTTTGGCTCAAACTCATTGAGACTGGACTCATTATGACCAAAGAAGAGGGACAAACAATTTATAATTATAAAAAAATTGAAGAGAATTATTTAAGGGAATATAAGCTTCAGAGAATATATAAATCGATTCAAGCGAGCGATCATGATGATACTGGTTCTCCGAGATACTACTTCAACGAAGATGACGACGGTGATAATGATGAAATGATGATTGACTAGTGATTTCATTTTTTTTTCTTCTATTTTCATTTTTTTTTGGTTTTTTGAATATCTCTATCTATTAGAGATCCTTTTTTTTTTATAATTCTAATAATTTCAACTGGGTTTTGTCGGGCGATTTTTTTTTTGGAAAAATCTATTGTGTTATAATTAAGGTCAGTGTGCGTTGGCATTATAATTGCGTTTAGGGACAGTACGTTGAATTATTATTACGTTAGGATTAGGGTCAAGATGTTTGGTTTATGGGATTATGTAATAAAATCATTGCATTTTAACAGTTAGATAATTTCTTTATTAATATATAATAAAATACATTGCTATAGTTGAAATTTTATAGTGACAAATAGTTATTTATCACCATCTGATTATGGTGATAAATGGTAATTTATATAAATGACGTGATATAGAATTTGTTTATTTTATTTTATTTTATTTTATTTTAAGGATTTTAAGGTAAGTAAAGTTGCTTGCCGAAACCTAGGGGTTTAGGCAAGATGGCATTTCGCCGAAAAGCGAAATTCTGCTGAAACTATATTAAAGTTATATTAAAAAACTGGCGAAACTTTGGAGAAAAGTGAAACTGCCGAAACTTATTATAAATGCCAAAACTGCTGAAACTCTGCCGAAACTATAATAAATCTATAGTAAAATTTTGACGAAATTAATCGTAGGATTTTAAAGAGGTTTAGACAAGCAACCTTAAAGGTAAGCCAGGAAAATACATTGATAATTTTAAGCTAATAAATTATAAAAACACACAATGTAGAATCGTCGCCCAATAAATCGAGCCCTGACTAGAATTATATAAAAACTATTCTAAAACCCAACTGAAGTAGAATAGGTAATTTCAACCCATAAGATAAGGTTGCCACCTGTGAATATTGTAAGAGATGGGGTGGTTTACGTTATTTTAAGTTGTTAAATTTGTTAAAAACAAAAAAAGAACAAATCACAAAGTACGAATCTTGGTTCCTTCATTTGTCTGAAGCCCACCTGAACCTATAAAAAAAAAATACAAGAACGGTTAGTAAACCGTTTGTAATAATAAAAAATAAAAAAAAAAGTAAAGATTCGTACCGTACCTTACGAATCTTTTGGTTTTCCATTCTTCGAAAGCCCACCTGAGACACCGAACCTATAAAAAAAAAGAAAAGAACAGTTAGTAATAACCGTTCTAAAATATTGAAAAAAAAGAAAAAAAATCTAAGATTTATAGTACAGAATCTTAGTTTTTTCCGTTCTTTGGTAACTCACCCGAACGGCCGAACCTATAAAAAAATGAAAAGAACAGTTATTAGTAACCGTTCATAATATATTGTTTAAAAAAAAATAAAAAAACAAATTCAAGATTCGTAAATATACTTACGAATCTTGGTTTTTTTTCGTTCTTCGGAACCAGGAAGCCTACCCGAAACTTAAAAAAAAAAGGAATGGTTATTAGTAATCGTTCCATAATAATAAAAAAAAATAAATAAATAAACTAAGATTCGTATCTTGGTTCATCCATTCATCAGAAATCCACTGAACCTATAAAAAAAAGAAAGGAACGGTTAGTAACTGTTCCGAAATATTAAAAAAAAATAAAAACCAAGATTCTTAAGAATCTTGGTTCTAAATCCCATTCTCTTTTCACATTTTTTACTTTAAAGTCCAGTTTCGTGAACAAGCCGGCATCCTCCTACGCGTTCTACAAAAAAAAATAACAAAAAGAAACGTTAGTTCGTTTCTTTACTTTATCCCTTCTTCTCTTTCTCGTTTTTTACCTTAAAGTCTGGTTTCATGACCAAGCCGGCATCCTACAAAAAAAATAATGATAAAGAAACGTTAATTCATTTCTTAAATTTAAAAAAAAAAGGATAAAATAAAAGAAAATTAAAAAAAATATGTAAGTTTCAAAACGAAACTTACATTACTTCCAAGAAAAAGAGGTGGAAGAAGGTGTGAGAAAAAGGGGAGAATGAAAAGGAAAGGAAGGACGAAAAGGAAAGGGAAGGACGATAAGGGAAACCTGACCGCCCTAAAAAATAAAAGATATATCAATACGTTAGTAAAAAGTTTCGTTAAATAAATAAATTAAGCAAAAAAATAAAAGAATAAACAAAATGTTAATAATCGTTTCGTTAAAAGAATTAATATAAGTAACCTTTACCGAATTTTCACACGTCCAAATATACCAAAAACGGATTCCTACATAATAGAAATAAAAACATTTTTTTAATTTTTTTAAGACAAAATTTTCGAATTATTTCGAAAACTACCCATGTGTGAGTCCGAAATCGATATTTGGCCAAGTTCCTACAAAAGAGAAATAAAATAAAATGTTAGCTACCATTTTTTTTAAAAAGAAAGTTTTCAATTTTTTTTTTCGAAAACGTACCAGCGTAACCTCTCGTTCGTCTCAGTCAAAAATCGGACGACTACAAAATAGAAATAAAAAACGTTAGTATAACTTTTTTTTGTTGAAGTATTCAAATTTTAACTTCGAAACTTTAATACCCTCGCCAAACTCATATCCAATAACCAAGCCCTTCTACAAAAAGAAAAAATCAAACTGTTAGAAACAATTCGTTAAAAAAAAACAAAAAAGAAAATTAAAGTCTTAAACCTACCGAAGACGTTTCGTTAAAGCGTTTAATGAATAAAGGAAACTGAAAGAGTGAGTGAGAATAAAAGTGAAATCGAAAGAACAGGTGAAAGAGAAAGGAAAAGAACGTGTAAAAGTGAAAGGGAAAGAATGAAAATGGGGAAGAGAAAGGAAATGGAACAGTGAAGAAATTTAAGCTTAAAAAAGCTTAATTAAACTGCAATCTGCAGATCGTCTAACAAAATCCAAATTTCGTTTTTCTCAAGTAAATCTTGAAATCCAAAATTTTTCAAGTTTTACTTATAGTGTTGAATAACAGTATAATGTGTTGAGCATTAGAATTGAACAACATGTATATTAATACTAAGTGTTGATATATACCAGTACACAATATTGTGCAACAAAAATACTTGTTGATGTTGATCAACGTGTGAATCAATGCCTACCGGCAAACTGCCTTTTTATATTTTCCATACATTCTTTAGCAAACTCTACGAGAACTGATCTTCACTGGTCCTCCTTTCAACCCATAACTTCGAAATGTTTCTTCTGTTATTTTGAAAAAGATACTACCGGTTATTTCTTGTTCACGAAGAAAATCAAGATATTTATCTTTAATTTGGGTATTCTTTTTTAAAAATTTGATGAAAGATTCAGTATCATATTTATAAATATCATTTAGAAATGAACAGCAAAAAACCTTTAGCATCATTAGTGTTGCCGTACCGTTTAAATATAATCTTGTGCTACGCCTATTCAAAATCCGGTTTATTTATTTTTTAATTGGGCTGATAAGTAACACAAAAAGTTTTTTTGTAATTAAGATGTGTAAATATGACGTATAGTGCAATATAATTGGGTTTGTGAAACTTGAGTATGACTAAAAAAAAAATATTTTATTTCACATGATGATTAACATTAACTGACCAATAAAATTCATCGAATTTTGCATTCGAATTACAATAAGAATGTGGGTTTCGTAAGATTTTAGTAAACAAAGAAAAATGGGTAAGTAAATTTGCTTGCTATTCCTTTGTCACAAAGGCTGAATTAAAATATTCCTTTTGTTATGAAAGGCTAAATCCTTGGTTAAAATAATCGATATTCCTTTTGTCACGAAAGGCTAAAATAAGATTCCTTTCGTCACGAAAGGCAAAATATGTTTCCTTTCATCTTTAACATTCCCATTCCTTTGTTAAAATATAATATTTAATATCCCTTTATTGAAATCAAATATATTATATGAAAAAGTATATACCAAGAATGAATCATTTTTCTTTTTTTTAATATAAAGTATTAATTTATTATTTTAAATTTTATTTAATAATAATATAGGTAAGAAAAGACATGAATGTTGTTGTGATCATAAATTATCAGTTTTCTTCGGTGGTAAGAACACGAAAGAGTTAAAAGGAATAAAATCGAAAGACGTTAAGGGATGGTTGAAGAATAGATTTTCTTACAATTTTGTACATGTCAGAAAGGATCCTGATTGGTGGTAATGAAATAAAATAATTAATATATACAATTTTTAATTAATAATTTAATTAAATGAACATTTGTTATATTTAGGTATGGAGTTGTGCACTTTGAAAATGATGATAATAAAACTAGATTTTACAATTTTGTGAGAAACCAAAAATTTATCGGACCTCTAAGTAAAACAATCATGTTCGCAGAAGCCTGTCCAAAAAGTGAAGATTATGATGATTATGATGAATATGATGATGATGATGAAATGGATGATCTGTAAGCACTATTATTACATTAATGAAATATAAATTAATGAAGGAATTATTACTTATTAAAATTTTTTATAAAAAATTAGAATACACGAAACCAATCACTACAATCCCCGGTACAGCCGCCCCTATCACAACCATCACTAGAACTACCGTTACAACAACAATTACCACAATCATCACCGTTGCAACTACTATTACAACAATCATCACCGGTACAACTCCCACCACCACAATCACCACAACCATCACAATCACAATTACCAGCTTACAATATTTTTGAAGTTGAAAGTAATAGGTATTATTAGTTTATTTATATTAATATTAATTGTTTTTATTAATATTTTATTTACTTTTTTTTTGGTAAAGCTGTTTAATTGTAGATATTTTTATTTTTAATGTGAAAAATCTCTCTGTTGATGTAAATATTAATAATACGAAACTCATATTTGTCAAATTTGAGTATGATTTACCCAAAGATTTAGAGGGATCTCATTGCCTATTAAGAGAAGCAGTTTTTCCTGACAAGGAAGTTATTCTAAATCTGGAATTACCCAAAAGGCAAGTTTATATATTAAATTAGTAAAATTGTAATTTAATTTATAATTTAAAAACTAATAATTTTTTTTAAAAAATTTTTTTTTTAATTAAAAAAAAAAATAGTATAGACACGGAAGAGGAAATTACCGTCAATTGTGGACAAGGAATTGTAAGAATTGAATTAAAAGTATCGCAAAATAAAATCAAAAGATTAAAAGTAAAAAGATAATATTTGTAGAAATATTATTCTGAATAAAGAGTTTACAATGTTCAAATACGTTAAAACATGCAAATGTAAATAAAGTTAAATTTAAATAAAATCCTCAAATGTCATTAGTAATTTCTATGTATTCAGTTATGTAAGTATTTTAAAGCAACATTATCAGTTATTATTCTGATTTAATGTATTCTGATTTAATTTTTATAAGGAAAATGGGTCTTTTTGTGTGTTTTGTCTAGTTTTCGCGACATAAATTTTTTACTTCAGCTGATCATCGATCAGCTGATTTTTTAGTATCACAAAATAATTTTAGGTCTAATCTATTATTTTTTTTTTTAAGATTTAAAGACAATATACAGTACATGAATTAAATTACATTAAGGATCATGTAAATGTTTATACTATTTATTATTAACATTGTATTTGTATTATATCTCTTAATATCAGGTTAATATCTATCATCGATTGAAATTCCATCCAAGGATCTAAGGATTCTGCTGACCTATGTTGAATAAAAAAGTTTCGAAGCAACTTACTAATCCAAAGACCAAAGTCCAAGGAACCGCTACAAAATAAACGAAAATAAGTTAGTTAAATAAAAAAACCTTTAAATAAAAAAAGTTTCAAAGCTTTCGATTCAAAACTTACCGATCCAAAACCTAGGGAGTGAACCGAACCGATACCTACATAAGATAAACGAATAAGAACAAATAAAAATAAAAATATTTTTTTTAGAAAAAAGGTTTGAAGCAAAGCTTTCGAAATTCAATTATCCAATGCCCAAGACCCGATACCTACAAAATAAAGAAAATATAATTTAAAAAAAAGAATATAAACTCACACATCCAAAGGCCAAGGAACCAAAACCAAAACCTAAAAAATAAGCTCTGAACTATTTTATTCCTTGTATTTCTAAGTTATTGTTTTCTCTTCAATCATTTATCTGGAGATTAAGCTTTTTGATAAAATTTTTAAAATTCTTCATAATATCATAGCAAATGCACATGCCAGATATAATAAACATAATTTTAAAGAGTTATATATTTAAATTATATTAATTTCTTTCTTTTTATTAATATATATTTAAAAAAAAAACTTACTTGTTAAATACAGACAGTTAACTATCTAACGAAGGGTGAGATATGGGTTTTTAATAGGAGAAATGGGTTTTAAGCGACTATGTTTTCTCTGATAATTTTGGTTTCAAGATATAAATTTTAGATGATCATTAGTCAGATAATAAATCATCAGATGATTTTCTGTGCTACAGCATAATTTCAAGTACGATTTATTTTGGAAATTTTCTACTTTAAACTTATTAATTCCAGATCAACAAATCCGCCGATATGCTATAAATAGTGCTCTACACGAGCCAAGCTGGCTTATGAGCTGGCTCAAGCTTTTCAAGCTTAGCCAAGCCAAGCCATGATTAAATTGGCTTGGTGGCTCACGAGCCAGCTTGGAAGAGCTCGAGCCAGTTATTAGGCTCAGCTCAAAAAGCTCGAGCCTGTAACAGACTTGGCTCAAAAAGCTCGAGCTGGCTCATGAGCCAAACGAGCTATTATACAAAAAACATTGCGAAACGTTTTATATAATAATGCATGCATAAACGAAACATTTTCGCAACTTTTTTTCATTATTTATTAAAGAACGTTCACTGGTCAAAAACCAGGCAAACGTGGCATAGTAGCCTTTATCTTTATTAAATTTATTCGAACTTTACAATTTACAAAAAATAAAAAGAAAAATATAAAAATAAAACTAACTAAAAACAAAGCTATATAGTCTCCTAAGAAAAAATAAAGTAAAAAATTAATCTAAAAAAGAAAAATCGCATTACACTAAATTTCCCCAGATCTTCCCCCTTGATATATTCCAACCAAAGTAGAAGCAACNGTAAAAAATTAATCTAAAAAAGAAAAATCGCATTACACTAAATTTCCCCAGATCTTCCCCCTTGATATATTCCAACCAAAGTAGAAGCAACTATGCTAACAAAATAACGAATAGCGCGCCCACTATAAAAATCGACACTCTATCCTGCAAAAGCTGTTATTAAGTAACACCGTTAGATGACCCATAAAACCCGAAAAGTGATTAAACCAAGGCAAACCATATTTCATCGAGTTCTTCAACCAATCGGTTCCAGAGTCACGTGAATCGTGTAGGGTCGGAGGTGGTAATGAGGAGTAAGGTATGTACGTTGACAATGGCAAATTAAATGGCTTCGGAGTAATTTTCATCTTATAGGTAATGTTCATCACGTTTTCCCATCGACTTTTCTCAAAGGAACGCGGATTCCAAATTCGTTTTCTGAATTTTTGAACAAAATTGTTATGAATAGCAGCGATAACCTTAATCGCAAAGATTCTTGGAATAGATAAATCGACAAATAAGTCGATAAAAAGTTTGGGCAAACAACCACGAACAAGAGCGTATGAGGACCAATTTGTAGAAGAAAAGGACCAGCATGGAAGAGCAGTGAGTTTAGCAATAAATGGAGAAGGATCAATGTCGGCCAGTTTTCCGGCTTCCAGAATTTTGGAAATCAAATGATTTTGATAAGATTGGAGAATTTGTTGCATAGGTAGACGACGTCTTTTGCACATAAAAAGGTGCATCAGATTTTCCATGCGGTTGATACAAGAACGGCAAGTTAATTCGTCCATGTATAGGTCTGGTCGAACCCGCTTAAGCTTTTCCAATGTGGGTAAATCATCCAAGAAAAGTTTGAATTTAAAGGTTAGGTGTCTTGAAGCATGTTCAAAAGTAAAATATGCATCGTGAGAAGGCCTGAAATTCAAAGTAAACCAAGTAAGCTTCCAGTCGACAATATAATCTATATTAGATGATAATAAAGAAATAAAATGGAATCGCGTTAAATTTAACAAATCACGCATTAACTGCGTTTGATAATATTATTTGAGGAGGTGTCGCGGATTAGATTCACAAACAATATCATTGTCATAAGTTAGAACAAAATCATGGGCAGAGGCTAGGTCCATTCCAGAGATCAAAATACTGGATGACGCAGTGTGAGCAGTGTTGGCCAAGGAGTCAACGAAATCATTTAAATAATTGCCAGAGTGAGCTTTGACTTTAACAGGAAGAACTGTTAAGTTCTTGGAAAGGATGGTTCGTTCAATAATAGCCCAAAGCTTGAAATTAGTTGTTTTGTAGTAAAGACGGCTATTTGAGTAAGTATGAGTAGAGCACTTTCTAAGGCCATCGATGGCAGTTTGCGAGTCAGTATAAATAGTGACTTCTGAGTCGCGAAGGGAAATGGTTAGAACTGCGTAAAGAGCGGCAGCTTCAGCTCGAGAAGAAGAAGGATTATCTTTAATAAGGCCGTGAGCATAAGTGGCAATAGAGTTAGGAAAACCAGCATCTGGAACAATTTGCATCCAGGACCAGCCCATAGAAACATCAGGAGTGCCTAGATTAATAAGAGACCCATCAGTGAAAAAGGTATAACGTGAGTCTGAAGACACGACCAACGGGGAAGCAGCAAAAACAGCAGCAGCTGAAGATTCAATAGTGATAGGAGGAACAAGAGCTTCAACAATGTCATCAGAAGGAGAGTCAAAATCAAAATCCAATCGACTATAATAGAGACGGACACCATCTTCTATATCAGCCCAAGTAAAGGAAGAAGTCACTTCAGAAGTGTTACATCTAATTCGCTCATTGGTAGTGGGCAGAATAAGTGAATGTTGAAGAGAAACCGTAGGCGTACAAAGGGTTAAATCAACATTCCATTTTTTGGAAGGAGCCAAGGGAGTGTGAGCAACACAACCAGGGCAAGGAGAAAGTCTAATGAGATCACCAGGCGAAAATTCACAATCAGGAGAAACCCAGTGAACAATAGAGCAAGTACCACGACTTGCTTGGACCAAAAGTTGTTTGCCAAAGAAGGGAGAGCCATAGTCATCTAACGTGACAATCCAATTTTTTGTAGTGGGAGGAGAGGAAAAACAAGGTTCCAATTCATAAAAGGAGGAATCGATCATAGGCGTAGTAACAAACTGAGCCAGCAAACGATTGTTGGTGTCAGGAATAGTGGTAACTTGTTGGATATCTTTATACCAATAAGGGATGCGGCCAGGGCCACGTCGTCCAACCAAATTATCATAGTAGGCTTTCCAGGAAATTAAATGAGTTCCTTGGGGAGTAACAAGTTGAGATAGGTAAAACAATTGTCGTTTCCGTAAAATAGGGAAGTAGGCTTTAAAGGCCTTAGGTGTCATGCATTCAAATAAAGGAACATGTCCATTCAACAAAGTTAGGTTCGGAAGTTTCAAAAGTTGAGTATGAAGCAAACAAAAAGAAGTAGAAGATAAGAGAGCAATAGTGCATGCGATATAATCTTTCTTAAAAGAAAAAAAAGAAGACCATATAGACCAATACTTAATTAAAAGGGGAGAAATAGGAATTAAAAAATTATATTGAATCAAACTCAATCTATAAATAAAAAGAGATTGAATAAAAAAAGAAGAAGAATTAGCCATTAAAAATAAATTAGTAATATGACATTGTCATTGGTGAGCAAACAAATTAATCAAACCCAAGGCGTGTGATAAAAATAAAATGGGATTGGGTAAAGAACGGGAGAAATTTGCTTTGTGCTTTACAACAGATCGTATACTTCTCGTTATTAGGTGGCAGTCAGATTCAGACAAGTGAGTGACTTGCATCCGGTATTCAAGTTTCGGTATAAGGACAGTATTATGTAAGTATACAACTTGTTTGGCAAAGAGCTTTGCAGGGCGGATGGTCACGGCGAACGAGCAACATTCGCGTTTGAGTTGTTTTTTGACAAAATC